CTTGGTCAAGTCAGATAACTTGCATAGAATCTTTAGTACCCGGTCTTGAGAATTTTGCAGCATTGAAGGATCTTTCCCATCATGCTACAAAAGGATTTTGTTTCTTGACCATCTATCCATGACTTATCTGGATATCACTTGCTGGTAACAATAATTTGGGAGAACTGTGGCCAGAATGTCTTTCTTATATGTTTCCTGAAATATTTGAATGGCCCCTGGGAAATCAGAAACACAGAACTGGTCCTTTGGACAGTTCTAAAATGATACCTCTTAAATTCAGGAGTTTAGCTCTCAGACATAGAAAGCTTGCTGTTTCTTAAGTTGCTTCTAATAAAAAATATTATTATATTGTTATAATAATCCTGGATCCCTGCTGTCATGAATCCATACAGCTACAAGATTTTTTATTTTTTAAAAATCCTATTTAAAAATTATTGTTGATAGAAAATCTTGCAACTTAAATAACAGGTTATTTTTAATAGAACTGCTGTAACAAGAGAAATGCCTGAAATGTAAAGGGATTTATAATCAAAATCTTGGATTTCAACATCATGTTATGCTATAATTTGCTTTCCTGTGTTTTCTTGACTAAACAATATTGGTTGGTAAAAATGGATGGCTTAGCCTATAGGGCAGAAGGCAAGAGGTCTTAAACTTCCAGAAGCCCTTGTCTCTGCTTCCAGTTTTGGGGCAGCAGCTTGGTAATATCTGCTGCCCCCACATATCTTCTAGAGTCACTTCATCTGTCTACCCCATAGCCACTCTATGTGAGATAGGGCAATTGTAACCTGTACTGTATTTCTGACAAATTAAAAGGGCATTTTTGAGGTAAACTTCATGTTGGCCACCATGAGAACAGAATGCAGACTTTTCCTCTGATCCAGCATTGCTCTTCATAAATTCTCAGGGCATACCATATACAGAAATGAGAGGGGTAGTATATTTCTCTTACTATTTAATCACAATACAGTTCTTTGAGAGAGCCAGGGTGGTGTAGCGGTTGAGGCATCGGGCTAGAAAGCGAATGAGTTCTAGTCCCGCCTGAGGCACGAAGCCAGCTGGGTGACCTTGGGCCAGTCATTCTCTCTCAGCCCTGGGAAGCAGGCAAGGGCACGCCACTTCTGAAAAACTTTACCAAGAAAACTGCAGGGACTTGTCCAGGCAGTAGCAAACTCGAAGGCATACACACACACGCACAGAGAACAGAGTTATTTACACGATTATATAGTTACTCCATGCCAGTCTTCCTTCCAGAGGAACCTAGACAGTTTAAAAGATAATAGGAACAACAATCTTAAAGAAAACTATCACAATAAATATAAATATTTTAAAACGGTCAATTAAAAAAAATAAAAAGAGGTCCATTAAACATAAAAGCGATATTCTATTCCCATTCATGTAGGATTAAGGCCCACTGAATTGAGAACCCACCCTTTCCTAGCCTATGCCCTACACCAATTGTGGACCTCCTCACCCACGATCCCCAGGCAAGTCGCCTTGCAAGGCTGCACTACGAAGGGGCAAGAAGAGCGGGTTTGGGTGCTTCCGGAGCTAAGCCACCTGCTCGTCCACCTTGCCGAACGCGTGGGTCGCGCCTCGCGTCGCCTCCGCGCCCGGCATCAAAACTTTCGCGCGCTAACGGCAGCGGCTGCTCGAGGGGGCCGCTGGGGGGCGCTCGCCTCCCCTTTGCGCGAACCTCGCCTGCCGCCACGGAGGTGTGGGGCTAAGGCGGTAGCGCCGCAGCCCCGCCCCGAACCCGGCGACTCCCTGCCGCGAGGTCACTGCCCCGCCCCCTGCTTCTGTGAGGCGGGGAGGGGCGTGGCCGTCCTTGCAGCAGGCTGAGTCCTCGAGAGCGGACTGCTTTTCGGAGGAAAAAGCCGGACGAGCTCCAGCCTGAGCGGGAGCCTCCTTGCGCGACTGAGAGCGAGAGCGCTGGCTGGACTTGGGCAGCCCCAGGAGCTGCTCCGTTTTCTCGCGCTTGGAGGGCTTGGAGGCACATCGGGACGGAGCGGGGACTGTCTAGAAAGAGAAAGGTGCGGAGAGGCGCCGTCCCGCTTGGGCTCCTTGTCCTCTGCGGAGTTGCTTTTGTGGTGGACGGTCTCGCGGCTACCCCATTCTGCTTTTCTTGGCTCTCTTGCCTTCAGGTGCTCCGGTTGCAGGGCTGCCTGCGGCTTGCTTTCCTGGCTGCCAAAAGAGGTGCTGGGGAGGGGGGCTGTGAGAGAGGGCACTGCAGATGGTGATGGACACAGAGGGGCTTTGGGGTGGGAACTGGGGGGTTTCGGGAAGCCAGCGGCCAGAGATCTAAGATTTGGCGCCAGAAAGGGGGAGTAGGAGTAGGGACGATGTCCTCGGAGGCTTCTGGGTTAAAGGTCTTGCTAAGAGGCGGTGCTGGCAAAGGAGGCGGAAAGCTGCACTGATTTAGCAGGGACTTCTGGAATAACAAGGGGGTCGACTTTGCAGAAGACGGGAAAAGAGGGTGCCTTGGAATTTGGAGGGGAGGAAGAGGACTGTCTTTATTCTGTGGCGCATGGACGACAATTAAACCGGTTGCAGGCAGGAAGCAGGAGATGGAGAGGCATAAAAAACATGCGGGGCTGAAGAATGGGGTTCAGGAATGCAGGATGGGATCAGGGACGGAGAATGGGAATAAAGAATTGGAGGCGAAAGAGGAGAGTGGGGCGCTGAGCATATCGGATGATAGAGAAGAGGTGGGTGTTTGGATGTTGGAAGAGCAGGTAAGATCTGAAGGGACAATTTAGGGTGCAAAGATTGCTTCCTGACTTTTTAAATGAGGCTGGTGAAGGAACATGTTGCAAGGATATACACTGTTCTGTAAGGAAGTTGCAAGCTGTTTATGATTTTCTCCAGGGAAAGTTGAATTTGGATTAGTTAGTTCTCTGGTGTCCTTCCTCTCTTGCCTGCCTGGTCTTTGTTTAGTCTCAAGGACTCTGTATGTTAGTGTGCTTATGCGTTTCTGTCCTTTTGTGTGTGCATGGTGCCTGCAGAGGGATTGAAACCAGATTCTAGGATTTCAGATTTCAGTCTGTTAAGCCCTGAAGCAATTTAGGGTGTGCATCCAATTTTTGATCTTTAGAGTTGCTTTGTTCAGGATATCTGTGCTTTATTGGGGATTTGTTTTGTTTAAAATCCAGAGGTAACAATTTAGTTGCAACAAGTTCTCTGCTTAGTGGCTGAGCTGCAACATGGCAATGAATAAAGTTGCTGCTGCTGGCGGACTCTGTATTCTGCCTCTGTTTTTAACTGTGATTATCAGCTTCTTTGCAAACAGAAACTTCATTCACTAAAGAGCTGTTCACAATGACTTCTTGAAGCCTATCCTTGAATGGGGGTACAGTTGTGACAAAAAGCTTACCTGTTTTTCTGTGTCTCTTCTGGAAGTTCAAGCTTCTGTCCTTATGAAAACAAATATATTATTTCTTCCTGCTGCTTTCTTATTGTATTCAGATATACACACACCTCTAAAGCCCAGAATGCTTTTTTATGTAGTCCACTGGGGTAGGATCAGTTCTGTTCATTAATTACCTAAGAAAGGGTGGCTAGCCCAGATGTGAGGGGATGTCTGTGGAAAAAGTAATTGAAGGGTCATTGTTCATCAGTTGTGTAGTATATAACACTGTCATAGAATCATTTTTCAAGAGCTCTCTCTTTCTGTTCCATCCATAGAAGAATTTAAAAGATTAAGGCAGGCTTGCAATTAAGTCAGTAGAACTTACTTGCCCATCTGTTCACACTTCTGTGTTGTCATTTATTTCATTCTGCCCTCCTTTAAGAGAATCAACTACTCTTCATTTTAATAAGATTTCCCTAAAGACTAGTCTTTGCTGTAGGAAGGCTGCCAGATGATTTATAAGCAATTTGTTTACCAATCATGTCTAATCATGATCTGCATTACCTCCTTTAAATATTTTCTCCTTGGAGCTCTATACAGTATGCCTGTTTCTTTCTTTCTTTCTTTTTTTATTTCATCCAGTTGGCATCTTTTTGTCCTTAGCTTAGTGACAATTCATGGTTTGAAATCTCTTGCACCAATGTCTCACGCTAGGAATATTGCAGATATCTTTGGGAAGTGAATAAGACAATAATAAAACATTTCATTTGCATTTGTGACAAATTAGTATAGGGGGAAGTTGCAGAATAAGGAAAATAAACTAAGGGTTTGAAATGAATGAAATAATCAAGGGAAGATGTATTTATCATTTATAAAGATGATTTATAGAGAAGTCTCCGCTATTCTGTCTCATCACATCTGTAAGGTGGGTTGGGCTGAGAGAATGGCTGTTCAAATGCTAAGTCAAGAGATGCACAGTTGAGGGAGAATTTGAACCAGTGTGTGTCTCCTTGGTCCAAGCCCAGTATCTTAACATCTGTACAGTGGGTCTCCATTCTTTGCTTTTTTGGGATAGAGCTCTTACTTTGTAGCAGCAATTTGAACAGCAACACTTTTTTTGGTGAAAAGTATTTTAGCTGGCTGCAGATCTTTGAACAAAGCTCATACATTTTATAGGTTAAACCAGTACAGTTGGAAATATGTGTCACTGAATTCAATAGAGCTTGTTTCTCTGTCATTGTGCTGAAAATTACAGTTAAACTGATTGTAATAAATTGCATTTTATCCTACTGTTTTTTGTACACTTTGTAGGAGAAGCTCTTATACTTCAAACTTTTAATATTTCAAAACCGATGACCAGTGATCATTTATTAAGATGTAGTACGGTATAAAATTTGGTATAATGTGCACTGAGATATTCTTGTAAAAACAGTGTAAAAGAGAAATGTTACTGTCCAGAGACATTAGTTTTTAAAGATTTTTTGAGGGGTATGGGTGGCTACAGTGGGTGGGATGATGCTATAATGTTGTCATGCATAGGTGGGGCTAAAATTTCCAGTTTTTGTTTTTAAAGGCATGTTAACTCCACACTGTGGATTATAAAATATATTTATTTGTTTTCCCACCAATCTTCATTAATAAATAAACCTTCTGTTTCTCAGCACTGTGATATGGGAGGAGGGTTCAGAAGGCTACAAAAATGGGATTGAAAACTGCAAATTTCCCACCTTAGTTTTAAAGGAAAATGAGTTGTGAAATTATATGAAATGTTTGATTTGTATTACTTCATTACCTAATTACCAAGTTGGGTAATTATATGCATTTATGAAGAAGAGCTGCCAGAACATATTAACTTATATATACATAAATATGTAGCTGTCATATATTCCATTTTGAGGTGAGCAACTTTATGCAAAGCAGAGAAAAAGAGTAAGCTGTAGTAACTCAGAAGAATTAAGGCATGAAATTTCAGATCAGATTGACCCTGACCCTGCTGGCCTTTTGTAAAGCATTGAAGATCTGGATGTGCTCTGGGGCCTGGGGGTCAAGAGGTTAGATGTCCTGTTGAGACGTCTCTGTTAATTGTTTTGTTTGGGCTTATGTTCAATGACCATTGTAGGTTTTTAAAATTCTTTGCATATATATGTATGTTTGTTTGTTTGTTTGAACATTTTTGTCAGCTGCCCAGAGTCAAATCTGCAAGTTGGGCAGCCATATAAATCATATAAATGAATGAACGAATGAATGAAAGAAAGAAAGCTAAACCTAGTTCATACCAAATAGCTCATTATTCCTATCCATATTTTTTCTATTCCTGCAAACCATCATTGCTTCCATAATGTCCATACACCAATTCATACACTGCTTTTTGTTCCTTAAAATTACTACCTTTCTCTTTTTGAAGATCTCATCAATAGCATCCAACCACAATTTTCTCAGTCTTCCTCTTTCTCTTGACCCATTTAATCTGCCTTCACATATTTCTCTGTGATTAGATCTCATTCATTCTCACTATAGAATCAGACCACTTTAATGTACTTTTTTATAATGGCCACTCATTGCTTAATTCAATCTAGATTAATCCAGCAGTCATTCATTCTTGGTCCTATCTCTTTTTGTTTCACCATGCATACTTCTCAAGTACCCCATTCCAACTGCATTCAACTTTTATGTTTCTTCTGTCACAAGTCAACTCTCATTTTCATATAACTATTTGTGCTCTGAATTAAAAGCACAGCATCATCTGAGTACAAAAATACACATGTTCTCAAATCCTGAAATAACACATCTCTAATATTACCACATGTGTTTGTAAGATTTATCCATAAATACATTAAACAACCAAAGGACATTACATATCCTTAATGTACTCCCTGATTTATGTTGAAGCAATTGCTAGGCATATCATTTATTCTCACCCTTGCTTTACACCCATTATTATGCCACTCATATTCAGCACAACCTTCAATTCCATGCTTACACAAAGTATTCTATAAAGCCATTCACTTTATCGGATGCTTTCTCTAAATCAACAGTCATATAGTAGACTTACTTTCTCATATTCATCCATTTCTCACTTATCTGCTAAACAGCAAAAATCTAGTGTACACATTCCCTATCCAGCAGAAAGCCTCACTGCATTTTCCAAATTTTGCTCATTGTCACGTTTCATAACCTTTCAGTCAGAATTTTGCCTAATGCTTTCCCGTGCTCAGTTGAGCATTCCCTCTTAGTTTTCTACATTCAATTCTACTACCTTTGTATAGGAGAATAATAGCACCATTCTTCCAATCACCAGGCAAAGGTATAGTCTTCACACACTTGTTAAACAAGTTGCACAACCATACTGTAAACAAAACATATCCATATTTTAACATTTCTCCAGTTACACTGTCTATACTTGCAGTCTTTCAATTGTTTAATATTCTCACGGGATTTATGATTTTCTTTTCACAAATGTTTATATATCCATTTCAATTCTAATCTTTGATTTGTCACTATCATTCCTTTACAAATCTGTGATGGACTCCTTCCCAGTATTCTCTCACTTCAGTTTTACCCAAATAATTTCACCCCTTTTGTTTTTAATTTCATTCACTCAGCTGTAAGCTCATTCTTACTCCTTTTCACCCACTTCTGACACTATTTTCTATACACCAAAATCACTCCATAGTTGCTTTGCTTCTTTTAATCTTAACCATTGGTTGCCTGCTTTGTCTACATTCTTTACATTATCCTTTAATATGCAATATATAAAAAGATAGCTGCAAAGAATGATCCTTGTCAACAATCCATTATTGGTCACTCCAGTCACAGTATCATGGGAAGGATGGAGAGATCTTGATGTGTAAGTACATTCTGTGAAGTATACATTTTATAACTGATTGTCTTAACAACTTATTTTATAGGAAAGAGCAGTTAATATACTATACTTTGGCCTCAGCTCCTGAAGATCAGCTCCTCCAGATTAACTTTGTAGTGTGCTTTTACTCTAAATATTATGGATTAGCTTTTGTTCTGGGATAGTGGCTGTTATTATGTCCTATGAAAAACTATCTCCTGAAATAACATCTACAATGAAAAAAGTAGTGTGTCCTCTTCATAGTATCATAGGCTTGGAATGAGACCTTTAGGTAATCAAGTCCAACATTTTGCTCAGTGTAGGAATCTAAATTTAAGCATTACTGTTTAGCCTCCCCCTAAAGCATCCAGGGAAGAGAACCACCTGTCTCGGTAATTGGATCTACTGTCTAATGGCTCTTGTTTTTAGGATTTTTTTTTTAAGTTAATCAGAATCTGCCTTTCTGTAACTTAAATCCATTATTCCATGTTCTACAGTCTGGAACAAGAGAAGGAAGG